CTCGTACTTCATGTAGAGTTGTACAACATTATTTTCCCACTCGCCGTCTTGAGTCTCCTTTCATGGCAGTAAATAGAGGTACTCTTTCTCCTGTTACCCGGTGCCAGACAGGCCACTGAGTGGACATACTCTTGCTTATTCAATCACTGCCCCATTGTTGGACATTCAGGTGGGGTGTTTTTTTCATTTTTCCTTTCAATGAACATAATTACCATGAGCATCTTTATACATGACTTCTTGGGTTCTGAACAAGTGTTTCTTTTACTGAGAAGTGAAACTACAGAGAAAAGAGTGTGTAAAAGATTTCCACTACAATACTAACGAATTGTCCTCATAGTAGCTGTAAAAGTTCACTTTCCCACCGGTGGTATAAAACAATATTCATTTCTTCAGACTTTCTTCATTATTCGATATCATAGATTTTAATTTTTACTATGTCCTAGTCCAATCATTTTCAATTATACTTCTCTAGTTTTTAGAGAAATTGAACCCCCTTTTACTTACTTGTTACTCATCTGTGTTTTCTACAAATTGTCTCACGGATTTCAATACTGGGTAGGACAAGGAACTGCCCTTCCCCCCCTTTTTTTGAGATGGAGTCTCACCCTGTCATCAGGCTGGAGTGCAGTGCCACGATCTCAGCTCACTGCAACCTCTACCTCCCGGGTTCAAGCTATTCTCCTGCCTCAGCCTCCCGAGTAGCTGGGACTACAGGAGCATGTCACTGCGTCCAGCTAATTTTTGTATTGTTTTTTTAGTAGAGACAGGGTTTTACCATGTTGGCCAAGGTGGTCTTGATCTCTTGACCTCATGATCCACCCGCCTCGGCCTCCCTAAGTGCTGGGATTACAGGTGTGAGCCACTGCACCCAGCCCCTTCCCTTTTCTATAAAACCCAATTTTTAAATAATTTTCCAGACTATTCTATTTACTCTTCTGAAAGAATCTTAGAATGATGTGCTCAAATCCCATCAAAAATCCTGTTGAGATTTTTATTGAAATTGCTTTGAATTAAAAAAGTTAATTGAGAGAGAAATGACATATTTAAAATAGGAGTGTTCCTTTCCACCACTGCTGTCCTTCCCTCCAATTTTTGGCTTGTGTTTTTATGTTCCTCAGGAAATTTGCATCATTTTCTTCATAAAGGGCTATGTTTTACCAGACTTATTCTTGGGCATTTTATAGTGAGTATTATCAGTGGTTCTTTATTTCACAAATATTTTTCATTGGTTATTGCCAGTGTCAGGCTGTGGGTTTTATATGCTGATTATGTTAACTAGCCAGCTTACTGAGTTCTTTTATTAGTTCTAATAGTTGGTCAGTGGGGTCATGTGGGTTTTCTGTGAACACAGCAATATCTGTTCTTTGGGTGATTGGGTAGAATTCACCTGGGGGTAGATTCTCAATGAGCATTTCAGTTTTGTTCATGGCAGTAAGTCTGCTCATGATTTTTAAAGCTTGGCCAAATGTAGATAATTTATGCTTTATCCCCAAAGGTGTGTTTTCTCTAAATTCTCAAATTGTTTACAATGTTACACATAATAGTCACCAAAAGTGTTTAAAATGCTCTGGTATCTTTCAGGTTATAATGATACTTTGTGACTTATTTCTTGATCAGGAGTGCCAACGTTGATTTCTGTCAGGAAGCTTTTAAACCAGAGTTTGACTCTGTTGGATAGCTTCACAGTTTAATTTGTATTTTATTCTTCTGCCTTTATCATTTCAAGTTCTGTCATTGATTCAACAAATACTTGGTGAGAAGTTGCTCTGTACCAGGCACAACTCTAAGTGCTAGAGATAACTGACAACCTGAGGCAGTCAGATGCAGCCTCGTTGCTGTGGCAACTACAGTCTTTTATGAAGGGCAGACTGTCAACAAGCAAGGAGGAAGAGACAGAGGAAAGTGGCGAGGTTACTGGTGTCCTTGGCAAGAACTGATTCAGTTGGAGTGGTGAGGACTACAGTCTCGTTGTAGTACAATTTATAGAGGAGGGAGAGGTAGGGGGAGAGAGAGAGAGAGATGGGGAGAGAGAGAAGGATTACAGACAATTATTTTTAGGAGTTGTGCTATAAGGGAGACAGAGAAATGAGGTAGTCACAGAAGGGGAGGGTTAAGGGACAGTTTTGTTTTTCCTGAGATGGAAGCTGTGACAGCATGTTTGCCAACCTCCCTCCAGGAAGGGCTAGTAGATGAGGGAAACTTTATGCACCAGTCACCTGTCTCTTCTTTTCCACCAGTCACATCCTTGAAGAAGCTTGAGAGATGGGCTTTGCAGAGGGGCATGAATAGATCCAGTGGACAAGGGGAAAGTCCATGTATAGGGCACAGGTACAGGTTTGTTATTTTTCCAGCTTCTTGATTTGAAAACTTAGCCAAATATTTGCAACCTTCATTTTTTTCTGATGAAATTATCTAAGGTTATACTATACAAATTTGAATCTGGGCTATTATCAAATCTCAAGGATTGATGAAAGGTGTTTAACATTTAATTTTCACTTTATCTTTTTGCTATTAATTTTTAATTGTATTCTACCATAAAAGAAGAATGTGTAATCGATACTATAGGTTCTTTGGAATGTGTTGCAGTTCCCTGTGTTTAAAAATAATTTATATTCTGTGTTATTTATATCTGAAGAGTTTTGGGTTCATGTTTTTAATAGGTCATCCTTTCAGAAATCCCTTTTATTTCTTTAGTTTGCATACTATGATCATTATGTGCATAAAGAATCATGTGTTATCTCATTAGTGGATTATAACATTTTCAGTATGAACTATTTTATTACATTTTGATATTTTACTCTGAATATTTGTATATTACTACTAAACCTGTTTCTTTTATTGTTAGCATATTTTTTCCTCCTCCTATGTCATTCTGTTTTAGGAGTGTCTGTGGCAAACAGCATAATGTTTGTAAACCCAATTTAAGAGTCTTTGCCTTTTACTATGTGAATCTAACAACCTCACAGTTATTGCAATTGGTAATAATTTTAGGCTTATACTGGCAGTCTGTGTGTGTTTAGAGGGGTGTTTAATTTCTCATGCTATCTATATTGATCAGGTTTTAAATAATTTTTCAATAATTATTGCTAAATTTGAAAATATAATTTTCCATAAATGTCTACAGAGATTAAGACACCGACATACTTTCGACTCCCTTTTTTCCCTCAAAAGTTTACTCTATTTTTCATCTTGAGTACTCCCATTGAGAAACTGGTTTTATTCTCATTCTAAGTAATTTGTTTCTAGAGAAGCTTTTAGGATTGGTCTGTATCTTTAATGATAGGAAGCTGTTTACTCATGTTTGCGTGGGCCCATTCATGGAAAAGAATTGGATTTGTTTTTTCAGTCCCAAAAGTATTTTCTGTCTTTGGATCTTTTATGTCATATTTTCATCTCTTCTTTCTTGCTCATCTTGTAGATACATTTGGCTTAATCTTCTAGTCAGCCATCTGTTCTTCAGAGTGTTTTGCAGTCTTGGTTTTGCACTTTCCTTTGAGACTCAGTTAATCTGCCATCTCCAAGGAGGAAATTGTTGGTTTTCTGATGAGAGCTATCTCAGGTAGAATACATTTATGTTGATGGGCAAAATCCATTAAGAGGCCAGTTGCTAGAGCAACATTCTCACATAGGCAAGAAAGAATTTAGTATTAAAGACAGAAGGTAAAGCAGATACAGATATAGATGAAATTAATTAGCAAAACAGCAAGACTGAATATTTTTCTGAAGCCAGGTGTAGTTCTAGATGAGGGTGGGAAGGGCAGAGTGTAGGTGTCCTAGTGTGGATAGTGGTTAAGGCATTGAGGAAACATCTCTGCACAGTAGCAAGCCCTGTTCCTTCCTACAGATGAAGAAAATGAACCTAACTGTGGAATAGTAGATAGATGGGCATTGGGCATGTATAGAAAATGAGCCAATCATGTTGCAGTCTCAGAGGCATTCATGGATCATTCAACATGAGGTAGCAACAGGTTAAAAAAAGGGGGGGGGAGTTCTTTCCCTTTCTTTATAATGTCCCATATAGCAGAATAACTTTTCTTCATTGCATGATATTAGTTCACCATAGTGATATATTCAGAAGAACAGAACAAATTTATTGTGAGAAAGGCAAATGAAAATAAAACCTTTGGAGAAACTGAGAATGTATTTGTTAAGTTTAAATCTATTAAACTGAATGAATGAAATATGTATAGGGGTTCTAAACCTGGAGTTAAATATTTAGCTAATCTGTTGGTTCTGAAAGAATCTGAGATTTTGATCCCTAATTTGCTCCTCCAAAGTCAGTGGTGTTTTATGGTAAAGTATTATTTTATAGTGGCGTTGTCACTTCACCACGTTGGGCAGTGTGAGGAGGAGGCACCACCAAGCTTGTTTAAGTTGGACGGGCTATACTGGTTGATCAGAAGGTAAGAGCAATTATAACTTGGGCTCTGAGAAATGTGGGACCTTATAAATGACTAGCATTAATCTTTCCAAAACTCTCTTCCTGTATACTGGGCACACATTGTGTGAAGCAGTACCAGGAAGGCTCTAAGAAGTTCACTGCCTCTTTTGCCATTGGGATGACATAGTTTCAGTCTTTCCTTGAGGGAAGGAGAAGAGAAAATGCCACTTAGAGGAACATCCACTGCAACTTGGAGTAATGTTTAGGCTCTGGGAGAAGGAGATTAGGCTTTGAAAAGTCTAACCTCCTAAACCTTGGAAACATGATGATGATTCAGCCAACTCTGACTCTTGTGTTTTGTACATACAGCATTTCAGTGTTTCCAAGGTGAGTTGTATGAGCCGTGTGTCATCATAGCCATTGTTTTCCGACTGAAGCTTGGTATTCATAAGTGAAGAACTTCATGGAGAAAGGTAGCATTATTAGTAAAACAGTCTCCAAAATTTACTTCACAAAATATGGTAGCTGCTATCACCCAGGAAAGAAGTCTTCGTTATGGCACTGTATTTCACGGATGGTAGATGGTAAATGACTGTCCCGCTGCCTCTCATTCCAACAGGTCCTTTGTCATCCAGCAAATCCCAAGCAGCAACCTGTTCATGGTGGTGGTGGACAGCAGCTGCCTCTGCGAATCTGTGGCCCCCATCACCATGGCGCCCATTGAAATTAGGTATATCCTTTTGTGTGCTGGTCCAGTCACTACCAGGAAGGGGGAATCAAGGGTAAGGAAACCTGGGGGAGAAATATTAGAGAAGAAAAATTACATCCTTTCCACTGTTGGAGAGTGAGTAGTTAAGAGAGTTGTCATTGCCAAGTTTTGACCTCTGAAATGCAGAGTAGAAAAAGCAATTCTTGGAAACATGCCTTAACTACAGTCAACATAATGAATCCCTTAAGTGTGAACGTCTGAAGGCCCAGAAGATCAGAAGGCGCCCAGAATCCTGTCATGGCTTCCATCCTGAGGTAAGTCTGAAGTGTTCCTGTTCCCTTTTCCCATCAGAATCACCATAAGAGTCTCACGCTGGCCAACGAACTACAGCTGAAGAGTTTACTGAAAGGGATTAATTTCCTCATGAGTAAACCGAACCCGCACATTGTCTGGGTCCCAAGACTTTTTCCTTACATTAAAGAGGGGAGAACGGTCTGGGAAATCCACATGGTTGGACAGTTGAAAGGGTCCTTGAGTCCATTTCCATCTAACCAACCCCTGCCTTTCCCCGTAGGAGAACGCAAGGGAGTGTGGGGCTGCGCCGGGTCTCCAGGCCCTGCCAGTCCTCCTACTGCTCCCTCTGCTTTTGATGCTCTTCTCAAGGTGACACTGACTGAGATGTTCTCTTGGCATGCTAAATCATGGATAAACTGTGAACCAAAATATGGTGCAACATACGAGACATGAATATAGTCCAACCATCAGCATCATCATGATTTTAAACTGTGCGTGATATAAACTCTAAAAGATATGTTGACAAAAAATTATCTTTTTACTTTGCCAGTCATGCAAATGTGAGTTTGCCACATAATCACCCTTCATCAGAAATGGGACCGCAAGTGGTAGGCAGTGTCCCTTCTGCTTGAAACCTATTGAAACCAATTTAAAACTCTGTACTTTTTAAATAAAGTATATTAAAATCATAATCTTCTTGTTTGGATTTTATCATTATTGCTAAGAATACCAACTGAAAACAATGCATGGGGAAAAGGTCTCCATTCCAGAAATCAGGGAAGGATGGCTGTGGGCAGAGCCTTTGTTCTAAAGCGGATTCTAGGCACATAGTTAACAACTGTTTAGATGTTCCACTCTCAGTTATAAAAATATTTATAGAAGTAAATCAAAATATCATCTACATGGTAAGAGTTTATTACATAGAACCCTGAATTTTGTTGAACTAAACTTCAATTGAAATCATAATTTGGATGCAAACAACAAACACAAGCTTTCATCATATCCAAGTGTGGAAATTATTTGGGAACGGAAATGAAATAAGTCATAAATCCTAGGCATTCATTCCGAGGAGACTTGAAGGAGGAAAAGGACAATGATTACAAATTTGGCTTCTGGGTTTCCCCATAAACAAGATATGAAATTAGATCTCAAATATTATAAGAGATGAAACTACCCAGACACGTAAGCATTTCTAAACACTGAATCTTGAACCAAAGAAAACAGATTTCATTGGATCATGTCTACTACAGTGGAATAATTTCCATGCCTAGGTAGACAGACAGGAAAGACATCTAAAGTTATCCAGAGAATCCTACTTAAACTCTTTAAAAGGGGCACATTATCCCCTGATATTTTAGAAAAACTGATGTGACTGTACTGCTTTATACTAAAACGATTCCACTACGTTGTTGTAATTTTTAATATTACTATGCCACGCAAAATCACAATACTATCACAGGCAAACTTGCCAAAGATTCAGCAGCCATGGGGCTATATAATTGTGACATTTGATGATGTAATTCATTCTGCGCACTTGGTAAATGAATAAATTCATTTGTTGCTCATACAAATATAACGATGTATTATATTTACACTGATATATTGATATCAGATAAGGAGCCACAATTTATTAAGCTGGAATGATAAGACTCTAAACGTATACAGTCACAAGTATAAAAACATTCTATTTATACCTAAGGTGATGGCCAGAAGAAAACTGAGCTTAATACTGAGAAAGATGAACTTATCACAGATCTACGTGATTTATAGGAAAAATTAGGTGATTTATGAGAGAGGCCAGACACAGCTCACACTTGTAATCCCAGCACTTTAGGAGACCAAGGCAGGTGGATCACGTGGTCTGGAGTTCAAGACCAGCCTAGCCAACATGGTGAAATCCTGTCTCTACTTAAAAAAAAAAAAAAATTAGCCAGGCTTGGTGGCTGGCACCTGTAATCCCAGCTACTGGGGAGGCTGAGGCAGAGAATTGCTTGAACCCAGGAGGCAGAGGCTGCAATGAGCCAAGACTGCACCACTTCACTCCAGCCTGGGCAACAGAGCAAGACTCTGTCTCAAAAAAAAAAAAAAAAAAAACAACAAATGACCTACAATTCTCCATTATAATTCTTAAAAACCGGCAACAATAAGTCAAGCATATAATGTTATAATGCCCATAATCTAATGCAATGATGCGAAATATGGGTAATATAATTATGTATAATTCCATCCCCAGTCTCATTCTAAACAATGAAGTGACATCATTTTTGTTACACTGTTTATGGCATAAATATAGCAGCCTTGAGTCACACTGTGCCTCATGCCCTTTTCAGGGATTACATTCATGTAACTGACCCACCAGGCACCTCTGATTTGCTGTTTCTCACAAGAGCTCCAAGCAACTATTTATCTACTTGGAAACTGAATAATTTTCTCCAACTTAAATTGTCCTAAGCACAACTTATGATCCCCCTTCATTAAACTTTCTTCTTCCCACTAACAGCTCCAACCCCAAACCTTGGGGCCACCCTATTTCCGTCTTCCCCCGAAGCCGGCCTTATAGCAAGGTTCACAAGCTCTCCCCTTCAAACACCAAACCTGACCACCACTTTTCCCAGCCCCTCACTACTGCCATCCTCTTCCCAGTCACCACCCCCATCCCTGGTCTCTGAAGATCTATATCCTCATTGGTCTCCTCTCTTCCACTGTCAGCAACCACCCAGCTCCACTCCACGGTCCATTCACACAGCCACTAGAGCAGTTTTTCAGAAACAATTATCTGATCATAGCCTTGCCCAGGGCAATTAGAACATACACATCCCTTACCATAGTCCACAGCAGGGCTTCTCTGAGTCTTTTTTGTGTTCAAATCACTCAGGGACCTTTCAAAACTTTCTAGGGCAGAACCCAGGCATTTTCGTTTTTGTTAAAACTCCCCAGGTGATGTTAATATGAAGCCAGCTTTGCATCCACTGAGCTGTGGGACCTACAGAGCCTCAGCCCTGGGCTCTGCCTCCCTTTCCCACTCCATCCTGTGCCGCTCACTCTGTCCCAGACCCTCTGCGCTCCAAGGCTCTGCCTCCCAGCCTTTGAAAATGCCAGGCATGCTCCCCACTCAGGGCTTTCGGTCTTTCTGTGCCCTCTGCCTGGAAGGCTCCAGACCCAGCCTTCATGCGGCTGCTCCTTCCCAACATCCAGGCTCCCTTCAAAAATCCCTTCCTCAGAGACCCCTGGTACAGCTGCTCTTCTCCCCTGGCCCCGCTCCTCTGGTTTTACTTTTCCTTTACATCATTTCATTTTCAGTTTCACTTGTATCGCAGCTCCGTAAGAACAGGGACTCCTCTACCGCTCAGGACTTCAGCTTCAGCTCCCAGAACAGGGCCTGGCCTTTACTATAACTAAAACCACCAGTGACAGTGACAAAGCTTGCACCGTTCACTGTGATCTGACTCTCTCTGCCTGGTACCATTTGAAGTGACTTGTTTAATTCATGGGTTTTTCATAGCACACCCACAAAGTAGATGCAACTATGACCTTCATTACACAGATGGAGAAGTGGAGACACAAGGGGGACAGTCATGCTCCCAAGGTCACATGGTTGGAAAGGAGCAGAGTGAGCATTAGAAGCCAGGCAATTTGGCTTCCAAGTCAGGGCACTCAGCCAGTCAAGTACTTCAAATGCATGAATGAATCACCAGCAGTTATTACGATGGTATCTTCACGTCTCCTACCCACTGATCTTACTGCCGTCTCTCTAAACTGCCTGGCCTCCAACCCCTGCTTTCTAATACCAGCTTGCTAGCTCACCTCCCTGAGCACAGCTGCTATTCCCTGTCCTCCCACTTCTAGGCCACTGTCTGCTGCCCAGAAGCCCTCCCTTGTCTTCATTTCTCCCCATATCTCCCTTAGAATACACAAGCCGCAATGGCACTTTTATGGCTACTGAGCTGCTGAGCACATCTGGGCTGCCTGTCATACCTGGGCAGACCAGTCCACACCCGGGGACATATTCCTTCCCAACTCAACTTCTATCCCACTGTCCCCCGGTATTTCACAGTTTCTCTTCCCTCTCCTTAAAAGCTGGGAAAAAATCCTCCCTGCTCTCCTCACATATTTTTCAAAGACCAAAGAGAAGTTACCTGAATGTGGGAGGTCATGGCATAAATCTTTAGACAGCATTATCTATAGTATGATACAGTGTACCGAGCAGTGCAGCTGGATGGAAGGATAGCAACTATTATAAAGTACCAGTGTTCTTGCTGGTATTGTTGTTAGTATTGAAAATTATCTCTGTTTACACACACACACTCCAGCCTGGGCAGCAAGAGCAGACTCCTTATCAAAAACGAGAGAGAGAGAAATCATATTTTAATTACTTTTAAACAAAAATAACATCACATGACCTACGATTCTCCATTAAACGTCTTAAAAACTGGCAACAATAAGTCAAGCATATGTTATAATGCACATAATCGAATGCAAATGATGCAAAATATGTGTAATATATTTACATAGAATTACGTAGTTACACACACACACACACACACACACACACACATACACAGAGAAGCCATCAGAATTACTGAATTATTTTGGTAAAATAGAGACAGTCCTGGCAAAATAGAGTGAAAATAGTAAGGTGTCCTACAGCATAAGATGATCCAAGAAATCACGTAGTTTTTCAAGTAGCCATTGTATCACCTTACTGCTGCTATTGTAAATAGCATAGAGAACCAGAAAATCCGTATGAAAAGTGCTAGGCAGCAGAGCAAAAACTGAGACTGTTGTTAGTTGTGAACACTTTTGGGAAAATGAAATATAAGAATAAATGGGTCTACAGTGACCTGCCAGGTCCTGTTCAATTTGCTGTCTCTCCCCATTTCTTCTCCAGCCTCACCGCACGTTCCCTCTCCTTGCACTTGAGCTACATGGTCTTCCTGCCCCTCAAATACACTAGGTGGACTCGCACCTCAGGCCTCTGCACTTGCCGCTTCCCCTGCCTGGGACACTGGCTCCTCCAGACACCTCCGTGCCCCACTCGCTCCGCGGCTGCAGGTCCTTCCTTCTCGGGCTGCCTTCCCTGACCTCCCTGTTTACAGCTGTAGTTTCCACGGCCCTCCACTCCTTTCCCCGTTGCTCTTCCTCCAGAACAGTTCATTTAGAATTGTTTTTGTCTCTTGGTTCTTTTTCGCTACTCTATTTTCCTCTCCCAGAAGAGGGTCTGAGTCAAAGCAGACTCTCAATATACATTTAAGCAAGTAAGCAAGCAGTACTAAGTTGGTGCAAAAGTAACTGCGGTTTTTGCAATTAAAAGTAGCTAAACACTGGGGTCTATTGGGGGGAAAGGGGGAGGGGGAGCTGGGGAGGGATAACCTGGGGAGAAATGCCAAATGTGGGTGAAGGGGAGAAAGGAAGCAAAACACACTGCCATGTGTGTACCTATGCAACTGTCTTGCATGTTCTGTACATGTACCCCAAAACCTAAAATGCAACAAAAAATTAAAAAAAAAAAAAGTAGCAGTAAAAACCACAATTACTTTTCCACCAAATGAACAGTAGTAAGAACAGTGCTACCAACATAGGGGGTGATTGTGTATACCCCTGTGGGATAGTGCTGTGTGGGAACGCCATCATGACTGCAGAGGGCAGAAGTAATACAATATTCTAGAGTACGCCATCTTGCTACAATTTGCAC